CCCAGGACTTGGGGGTTTCTCAGGACGTGGGACTTCTGGTGCTGACACCAGGAAGGAATTTATGACTGGCTCTGACACGCCCCTGAGTGGCCTGCAGGACCGGAATGCTGTGGGCACTCCCGTGGCTCCTTCCTCCTCTCTTATCACACTGGAATTTCCCTGCCACTGCGAATTGGGTAACACTGACCTCGCCTCTGGGCGGGGTAGCAAGGAATCCTACACCCTTGACCTGCAGGCCACGGAGCTGAGGCAGATCATGAGGTAATCATTACGCCATCTGCCGGCCCCTCTTCATTATTTGGATAACTATGTTTCCGTATTTGTTTCCTTTGTTATGTTACATATTTTACTTTGTGCATTTAAAAATATTCTAAGGGCGCTGGCAGGTTGTGTGGTGGTTAAGGGCTCTGGACTCCCACATGGTCAACTGAGAGGTTCAACTCCTAGGCCTGGCGGCTTGCTTTCTCATTTTCTCTCTCTCTCTTGCTTTGTCTGTCTCTGGTCAAATTAAAATAAATAAATAAAGTTAAACAAAATAATTCTTAAAAAAAAAAATTCTAAAAGCAGGTTCTTAGGTTTCAGCATACTGTCAGAGGCCCATGGCCCAGAAGAAGTCAAAAACTGGTGGGGCCCAGCGTTGGTACAGGGCGTGGCTGTGAGCAGTGCTGCAAGCCACACGGCTGACCGGGTTAGGGTCCTAAGTGGACCTGAAGCGCTCAGGTGGGCGTACCTGAGGCCCTGCCCAGCCTGAGAGCTGGGAGAAGGGGCCCGCAGCCTGACCAGGCCTTTCAGGGGGCACCTGTCTCTCTCGGCACAAGCTCCAGCAAGTAAGAAAGTCTTGTAAAGACGCTTGGTTCAACGAGACTGAATGGCAAAGACACAAGGGTCCATAAAATGCTCCAGTGTCAGAGCGCAAAAGGTCGAGGTTGTGTCCCCTCCACGTCCAAAGCGGCCTATCCGTGTACCGCTGACCGCAGCCTAGTCAACCCTGGACACCCAGCCGGCCCTCAGAGGGAGAGCGGTCTCTCTCCTTTCTGCTTCCTTTTTCTCTCTCCCACCCTCCTTCATGAGAGAAATAAAATGAAGGAATTAAACTGCCCGGGCAGCTCTGTGGCACACAGCCTGTTTAGTTCACTCCTTAGGACACAGAACAATCCCAGACGACTGTCAGCATTTAATAAGCACATGCCGGGGCCGGCAGGCGGCATGGTGGTTGAGGTGCTGGACTTCCACATGGCCAACCACGGTTCAAGTCCCAGACCTGGTGGCTTGCTTTCTCACTTTCTCTTTTTTTTAAAGAATTATTTTATATTACTTTATTTAATTTTATTCATTGTCATTATTTTAATTTATTTGTTTATTTATCTATTTGAAGTTGACCAGAGAAAGAAAAAGAAAGCAAGAAAGCAAGCTGCCAGATTCAGGACTTGAACCATGGTCAGCCATGTGGAAATCCAACTGCTTTAACCACCATGCCACCTGCCGGCCCCACTTTCTCACTTTCATTATCTCTTGCTCTCTGGTGAGTGCCTGAATCAAATTTGAAAATAATAATGCTGCTGCTGATGATAAATAAAATTAAAGAAGTAATTAAAAAATAGGTATATGTAGGTTGAAAGAATGAACAAATGAATGTGTGAATGTTGAAACAATGCAGTGTTACAATTGCAAATACCCTGATAGCCCTCACCTACAGAGAAAGTTACACCACGCCTGCTTACAGGACTATGTACGGGCCTTGCTTTTATGCCAGAGGGAGAGGGAGAGCACCTCCCAACCTGGTCTGGTCACACCGAAATCCTTTCCCCTCCGACTCCCTCTCCCGCTGGGATCCGGGGCATGCAGGGGCCTGCCTGGAGAGGTTTTCAAGTCATGGCTCCAGGACTCGAGCCCCGTCAGCCACATGGGATCTGGGTCGCTCTGAGCCATGGGGCTGGCCTTTGTGCCTTTTCCCCAGGGCTCCTGACCTATGAGGTGGGTCCCCATTCATGTTTTCCATGGGGCAGCCCCACTGACCACGACTCTCCAAGCTGGTCCTTTCCCCACAGCCAGGACACTGTCCACGTGGGAGGCTGTGGCTGGGTTCTCACGCTGGGCAGTGGGGTTTCTGCAGGGCTTGGATTTGCGCTCAGAAACAGGACACGCCGAGGACGATGGGTCGGTGGCAGCACGCACTCAGGGAGGTCAGTGGTCATCAGCGTCCAGGTAGGGACGATGGTGACCTGGATGAGGGTGGTGGTCACCAAGGTTATGAGCAGAGGGACGGAGGTAGGCAGGAGGGGGGCAGGGCCTCATGCTGGGCTGGAAACGGGTGGGGGGTGGCCTGATAGGAGGGGTGGCTCAAAGTTTCTCTATGGCCGTGTTTTTTGTTTTTTTTTTTTTTTTTTTGTAATTTGCTCAAGAGACAGAAGGAAAGTAGAAGCCTCGCTTCAGGGGGATGGCCACGCCAGACCCTTCTCCTCCATTCCCTTTTGGCCGTGTGGGAGTTGGCCTCCCTGGCCACCCAGCCGCAGCTGGCCCGAGGCCGCGGCGTCGAGAGGGTTAAACGGTGGGTGTCTGTGACATGACCTACTCCAGCTGGCTAAGCAGGAAGGCATTTATCGGGGAGGCTGAAGGAACAGACTTGCTGACCTTTCGGGAACAGCCCCCAGGACCAGTCCGAGAGGACAGGACTGCCCTACTCGAGTCCCGTCACTGCCACCACCGGGAAGCCCCGGCAGGAGGCTGCTGCTGTGTGCCACTCGGTGCCTGCCACGGGCCTCAGCAGCAGGGTGAGTGGGCGTGTGTGTCCATTCCAGTGCCACTAAGCTAGGAAGCCATGGCTGTCCCGACTGTCACAGGAAGACCAGGGTCCCCACAGCTGTGCCGCCAGCAGACATGGCAAGCCATAGAGGGTGCCCTGCCGGCAGGGGCCCTGGAGTGGCAGGCAGGGAGGAAGGCGACCGTGCTGCCATGCTAGTGTCCCGTCTGCCCTGCTGGACAAGGTGGGCTGTGGGAGGGCAGGGCTGCTGCCCGTGGGCACGCGGCGTGTGTGCGTGTAGCTGGTGCTGTTTCAACATTCGCTGTCGGGGGCCACACGCGTGTTTGTACGACGGCCTGGGGGGGTCACTTCGGATGTATTCGGGCGCAGCCAACGGAGCGCCCTAACTGGGTTTAAAAACGACGAGAATCCACTGGTGCACGAGACCACGGAGCTCGCAGGTGGGTCTGCCACCAGACGGTGTTGTCTATGCTGCTCAAGTGACACCGAGAACCTGATTTTATGAATTATTTCATTTTATTTCTCTTTTTTCTTTTCCTTTCTTCTTCTTCTTCCTTTCTTTGTTTATGTATTTGCTATAGGACAGGTGCACTCACCAGAGAGAAAGAAAGAAGGTGAGAAAGCAAGCCTCCAGGTCTGGGACTCGAACTGTGGTAGCCCATGTGGGAGTCCAGCACCTTAACTACCACGCCACCTGCTGGCCCCAGAGCCTGATTTCTTACCAACTCTGACCTCGATGTCGGCTTCATGGTTCTTTCTTATTTCCTTTATTCATGGCAGAGTATTTGCAAGAGTGAGAGGAGCACCCCGGGCTGGGTGTCGGCTCGGTCCCCTTCCTCCGTCCTCCAGCCTGTCCGTCTGGAGCTCCTGCGTGAGCCTGGCATGATGCGGGCAGCCTGGGCCAGGGGTTCCAGCCGCGGCTGCCCGTGGGACCGCGCTCTCCCAGAGCACCTTCGCTGCACCAGGGCCCCTTTCTGTCTTCGTGCTGGATTTGGGGCTTTCTGACGAGACCTATACCCACCGAGGGATGCCCCGTACCAGCCAAGTCTGCGCAGTACCTGCCCGCTCAGAGGCCACTTCCCCCGCGGGGAGCGGGGAGCTCATGCTCAGCTTGCCCAGCAGGTAGGGTGTACATCCTGTCCCCGCGGACGTCCCCTCCTAGTGTAACTGATGGACGTTGCTGGAACACAGACCAGGGCCGGCCTGCGCCATTAGGGGAGAGGCGGTCCCAGCAGTGTGAGAACACTTGAACGGTGGCTCCCAGTGCCGGCGGTGCCTTGGCCATCCTCCTAACGCCGTCCTGGGTGCTGTGCCCTGCCGGGCTCCTCATGGCGGGCCTGCAGGGCCTGTGTGACCTGGCCCGGCCCAACCTCCGGCTCCCTTAGCTCCTGGCTCCACTCCGCAGCAGCACCGGCCCTCGGACCCCACACTCTTGTGCTCAGGTGTTGCCCCCTGGCCCCAGCACAGTGGCACCTCCTGGTCTGGCCGACTCCCCCTCCAGGCTGTCCTGTCTCTGGTCCATGCCTGGGGCCTCCCCGTGGGATCCTCTGTGGGACCAGGCCATGCAGCTGCCCTGGCCCAGCCAACCGGCCACCATTAATACTTGTTTCACACACAGAGGGAAGGGGCCAGTGGCCCGCAGTCAGCCACCTGGTTCCGGGACCTCGGCAGACACCTGCCGGCCCCTCGCACCACTGCCCTGCCAGGGCGGGACGGCCACCATTTCTAGAGTACTGGCTGTGCAGGGAACCTCCCCCGGGTTGCCACTCTGGCTCTTACACGGCGGACTGGACAGCACTGCTCCCAACTAGGAAAGGAGGAACCAGGGTCCAGGGAGCGATGGTCTTCCCACAACCCACAGCAACCCCACAGCTGCTGTGCTGGGGGTCCAGGCCAGCTTGGCCAACCAGATCTAGCATGGAGGCCTGGGACGGGGCCATCCCTGCACTCCCAGGGCACCTGGGCAGGGGAAGGTGCCCGGGACTCAGGCAGGAAGGGGGGCAGTGAGGGTCCCCGGCAGGCCCTGGAGGTAGTCAGAGGCAGGTAGGAACTTGAACAGGCCCTGGTCACCTAAAGACCACCTGGCACCCCTGCCACCTGGCTCTGGCCTCCCCGTCCCTTCTTCCTCTTCAGTCTGTCCCCTCCAAGACCAGAGGCCAGAGCCCAGACCACCCCCATCTGGCCTTCTAGACCCCTGAACTTCTGCTCCCAAAGCCTGCACAGCCACGGCCCGCAGAGGTGAGCTCAGAACACGGAAGGCACAGATTTATTAAGAAAACCTTGGAGACTGTAAGGCACGGGGGCCAGGGCGGGCCCCTGGGAGGGGGCCCTGGGACGGGCAGGAGTCCCTGGGCCTCGTGGGCGTCCTGCCTGCTGAGCACCCGGGAGTAGCTCTGACCAGCCCACTCCCATGCCCTGGCTCCTGGGAAGCCTGACAAGGGGGCCCTTTTCCCCAAGAGGGTGAGTGTGGGCAATGGGGGAGGGGGAGGAAGCTGCAGCTCCTGGTCTGGACGTGTCTGGGGCATGGGGTGGGGGCGAGGAGCCTCAGGCCTTGCCTGACACTCCTTGGACCCTCAAGGCACTAAGAGGGGTCCACACAGAGGCGAGCCCCGAAGGTGGGGCGTGGGGCGGGATGGGGCTCGGCCTGGCAGGTGGGCCGGGGGCAGGGATGGGCTGTCATGGAGCCCCGCAGCACCAGTGGGCAGGGCCTCAGCTGAAGTCGCGGTTGGGCAGGAGAAGGGGGGCCACCAGGGTCCACAGGTAGAGCAGCAGGCCCCCCCAACTGGCACAGATTTTCACCCACACGGCGGGCCACGTGCTGACCATCCTCCCCGTCGCGCCGGGTCTGGAAGACACGGTCTCCCCTGAGAGCCTGGCCCGGGCCTGTCACTTCTGCGTTGGCTCCCGACCGTGTGGCCCGGGTGTGACTCTGACTTCAATGCTACCTCTCTGCTGCAACTTCAGTCCGTCTCTGCTGGCTCCCGTCTCTGCTGGCTCCCCCTGGCCTGCGACTCGGGCACAGCGCCTGACCTGGTACCGAAGCTGGACCCTGACCTCAATTCCAACCTTGACCCCAGCCCTAGGCCTTGAACGCCTGGTCTCTAACTCTATGATCCTTATTCTGTGACCTCACTCCTAGTTCCTTGGGACCCTGAAGTCTGCCCTTCGTCCTGACCTCTAACCTCGACTCTGACCTTGACCTATAGCCCAGCCTTGACCCCTGACCTTCACTCCTTGCCCTTGCCACTTCGGCCCTGGCTTTAAGGCTCCTTAACTGCAATTGTAACCACACCACCAAACCTGTGACCCCTGCCCAGTCCCGACCCCAGATCTCACGGCTCCTGCTTTTCGACACCGCAACTCCGAGTCTAACCCCACGCCTGGATCCCAACCCCCAGCCATAAATCCCGACCTGGGCCAGTCCTGACTGGTAAGCCCGGCCCGCCCCGCCCCTGGCCCCACCTCGGGGTCACAGGGGGTGTCAGGACGCGGAGGCCCCAGCCCACCACCCCGGGCCTGAGCGGGCGCACCTGTACCAGTTGGTGAGCGTCATCATGACGTGCAGGGAGGCCAGCAGCAGGCAGAAGTGGAAGAAGGAGTAGCTGTAGGTGACGCCCTCCTGCTCGTTGTCGAAGGCCCGGCCCTCACAGGCCACCGCCTGCTGCTGGGAGGCCTCGAGCGTGGCCGTGCACTCCTCCGTCTGCATCAGGCGGTTCACCTGCCGGTGGTCGGAGGCGCGCACACTGCGGGCGGGGAGTGGGCGTCAGGGCCGTGGCCGCCAGGGCGGCAGGCGGGCAGAGCAGGTGGCCCTAGACTACGGCACTGGTCAGACGCTGGACGCGGGGCCTCAGGGCCAGGGGCGGGGACCTGAGGCCTTGGCCCTGGGCCCAGGAGCAAACGGACGGTCTGACTCCCATTCTGCTCCCCCCTCTGTGCACCCTGACCACTCGCCCTCCCCGTGCCTCCGCGTCCTGTCTGTAAATGTGGGGACAGAGAGCCCGCCCTGCAAGGCCGCGGGAGGGCCTGGTGGGACCACCGTGTGGGCGTCTGGCACGGAGCCTGGCTCAGGGCTCGCTGACGCCGAGTCGTCCCGGCTATCTGACCTCGCCTCAGTGCCAGGAGGCGTGTGCACTCGCCGGAGGCAGGGAGAAAGCACCCCCCGCGGCGTGGTCACGCCACAATCCCTTCTCCGTTTCTCCACGCCAGTAGGATTTGGTGCGCGTGCACACGCGCGCACGCACGCACATACATACACGCGCCTGGCATGTTTTTCAAGCCACCAGGGCCAAGATTCAAATTATAGTCAATGATTTTTCATAAGCAAACACGTCATGACTTTCCCAGCGACTACTGCGTGGGGGCAGCTCCTTTACCCACCAGACGGCCTGGCCAGCAGGCGGCTCCCGACACGCAAGACCACCACACCCCATGGGGCTGGCCCGCTACACTAATTTAGAACAGAAATTCAGTAAAGTCTCTACTTTGCTTTTTTGTTTTTAGGTTTTGCCACAGGGCATGTGCGCTCACCAGAGAGACAGAGACACAGAAAGAGGGAAAGTGAGAAATCACCCCCAGAGGGGTGGCCATACCACAATCCCTTCTGCCCCGTTTTCCTCTCAGGATTCTGGGCATGCACACACGCGTGTCCAGCATGATTTTCAAGTCACCGGGTCTGGCCCCTTAGCCAGCACGCCACCTGCTGGCCCTGAAGTCTGTTCTATGGCTGCTCCCTCCCGGGGACATGTACTGAGCGCCCCGCCCCGCCAGGTGCCACAGCGGTCCTCGTTCTCACTGATTACGCGAACAGCGCCCACCTCCGGCAGGCCCGCTTTCACTGGGCTGAGGGCATCGGTTTTGCCGGCTGCCTCCTCTTCCTTCGGGGCTATGCTAGAAACAGCCATGACTGAACATCGCTGCCTTTCTGTGACGGGGTCTCAACGTTTCTAACCGGATTTAATCGCTCAAAACACACACGGTTCTGGGAAAAACCTACTTATATTTAAAAAAAAAAAAGTAAAAAAGGCAAGCTGGCTTCCAGCCCGCCCTCGCCGACCCCCAGCAGGGCACTCGAGCAGCGTGTGCAGAGCGGGCTGCCCGTGACCACGGGGCGGGGGATGCGGGCAGGAAGCCAGGCCGCACAGCCTGGGTCGGTGATGAGGGGAGAGAGAAGCAGGGCAGTGGGCCAGCTGCTTGGCACGCCCATGGCCGCCCCAGCCTCAGTCTCCCCATCTGTGAAATGCAGGGACTCGGGCCTTTCCAGACTGAAAAGGAACCAAATGTCTTACAGCAGGCGAGAGAGGTGTCTGTCAGTTGCTAGACTTGGCTGGGAGAAAATGTTTTGAAGAAGACCAAGACAGAGGCCAGCAGTGCCGTGGGGGTAAGATGGCTGGATTCCACGTCTACCACACGGTTCAAGTCCAGTATCCGGTCCCTACAGAAGCTGGCTGGACGCGTATGCGCGTGCACCCCAGAGCCCAGAGGAGAATGGAGGAGGTCTGGAGTGTGGCCATCCTCCCAGGGAGAGATCTCCCCCCCTCTCTCCCCC